TCTCCCTCCTTTTTCCTTCCTTCCTTCCTTCCTTCCTTCCTTCCTTTCTTTCTTTCTTTCTCCCTCCCTTTTCCTTCCTTCCTTCCTTCATCCCTCCTTCCCTTCCATCTCCTTCCTTTTTCCTTCCTTCCTTCCTTCCTTCCTTCCTTCCCCCCTTCCTCCCCCTCCTCCTTCCCTTCTCCTTTTCCCTTACTTACAGTATTCCATGGACACGTGACCACAATTTACATTTTTTTTTTGCTGGGAACTGATGTTTACTTCCAGTTTCTGGCAGAAGACGTCCCATGCAGACAATGGCTTTTTTTTAACAACGATTGCGTTGACATTATAACAACTGCTGCATTCACTTTGTTTTTTGTTTTTTTACTTGTTGGACTTTTGTATTTCAACTTTTTTTTCTTAATAAAATAAAAAATTTAGAAAAATAAATAAATAAGGAAGGGATATAAATCTATTATTTAATCAATGATCCTGAAAGCCAAGCACTGAGGGTATGCTAATGACAAGAATTAATCATCTCTCCTTCTGTCTCTTTTCCTTAGATTCTCCATCCTCTTACCAGACCATAAAACAAAATAAATTTACAGATTCCAGCCCCAAGGCTTCGCCTGTTGAAAACAGGAGGGGGAAAGCGAACGGTCAGTTCTCTGCCGGCAGCATAAAAAGTTGCTTCACCAAAATGCTGAATTCAACGCCAACGGTAAAGAAGAATTACGTCTTCAAGGCTACCGGACAAACAGAAAGAGCAATGGGGGAAAAGAGTCCATCCGTTGCCTGTGGACCTCAGCGGAATACATTCTGGGTTGAAGAAGACCAACCAATAAGACAATTGGCAGACGGGGAAATGGTTAGCAGTTCTCCGAGAACAAAGATTGGCTTGGTGCCTGAGAAATGTCCCCATGAAAGCCAGCAGACTGGACATAAAGACATGGAGGAGGTAGCGTCTTCTCCAAGGAGAGCAAACTTAGAACTTTCCAGGTCAGACCTAGGTGTCGAAACTGACGCAGGAGATGACAGGCTCTGTTTTACGCCTGAACTGTATGATGACGAAGAGTTGGTGGAAGAGAAGAACGAAGGCTCGATTCACCGTCACAACAGTACTTTGGCTTCCTTTGAAACCGCAAACACCGTTCTGCTGGAAGAACTTTGTCCACCCAACGCTCAGAAGCCCGGAGATGCCACCTCCGGGTTTAAAGGTGAAGCAGGAGCGGACGCAGAGTGGTGGGGGATCATGGAAGACAGTCAGAATAACAGAAGTGCCATTGAGGCAGCTGGGCATAATGTTGGCCTAGAGGAAGAGGCAAAGGATAAGGAAAACCAGCTTCCTGGATCACGGATCAAAGGTGTGTCTTGCACTCAGTTCACTTAAGCAGTAAAAATACGGCTTGAGGAAAAATAGGGTCAACTGTTTCTAGTTAAGTTCAGGAAGAATCCGTTTTTCAGAAAACTGGAGGGACATTCGTACTTCGGGGACATCTGCCTTCATGGAAAAAAGTTGATTCGGAATGGAGATTGACCAACCGTGTCCCAAAATGTTCCACCTCGCCTCCCGTTCTCTTCTGCAACATTACAGACGACAGGAAGATGTGATGCGGTACCTTTATCCATGTTCCTGTCTCTACAGGTGTTGACGAATGAAAGGGAGCATCCACCAAGATGACTGGTGTTTTCCAACCGGTCACGGATTGGACCCATTCTTATTACAGAACATTGCAGAGAAAGCAGAGGAGATGTAGGAGAAGAAGCAGAGTCAAGAGAGGAACTAGTCTGGAGGCCATTTGTGGGAACGTAAGGATTCTAGGCTAGTTCCTCTCTTGACTCCGCTCCCTGTCTCTGCCTGTCCTTCTCCTCAAAGAGGCTGAACCATTCCTTTCAGGAATAGATCCAACCTATGATGGACAACAATTAGCTTAGTCTTGGGAGAACTTTAGAGATGATAAAAGGACAGGAGAAACCACTTGGGTCTTGGGTTCTTCTGCTGCAAACTGATCGTCCCATCTTTGTTTTATTATTATGTCTCACCAGCCTATTTGCAGAAGGAATCAGGTTCATATGAAGAAGCCAGTGAGATCATTTCCAAATAAATGTAATAGGGCCTACTTCACTCACTATTTTTTTTCCCCTTGGGGTAAGGAGGAAATGTTGAGGTTATGTGAGTGTAATTTGATTTATTGATCAAATAAATCAAATCTTTGCAATGCTTGCAAAGAGATCCATTATTGAATTAGGTTCGTAGCTACCAGCTTAGGAAGACTGATCAAAACCATGTTGGTTTGCTGAAATTTTGGAGACTACGTTTTCCATTCCCTCTTCTTCGGCCTTTTTAAACAATCACGTGACCTTCACAGTGTGCCTACCATGAACTGGGAAAGCTAAACCAAACCAAGTAGCTTTTTTTTTTTTACAGCAAATATGCAATTCTACACTTTTATGTTACATTATTCACCATCAGAATGGGCAAAACAGACTATTATGACATAAGCGGGTAGCAAGAATTAAATATCATTTCATGAGCCTATCACCAACATATTTCTTTTATTATGAAGAAGTCTGCAGGCATTATTTTGCTAGGAAAATATATAGCATGAATCAGTGCTATGCTTCTTCACCGGGACTTTATTTAGTTTTCTGCATAATGACTTTATTTGTGTCAAATATAAATGCACCTTCAAATATTTTGGGCAGTCAAATCAAGTCTCAGGCACCAGAGCACATTTAATTAAAGATGTAAGTCTTGAGACCTTATAAGTGATGGCCAAAATTTGTGTCACATCAAGGCTGATGAGATCATTAGAAATTAATCTTATAATTGGGAACGCCACTTCATATCCGTTGGTTCTCTTGTAATCTCCACTTCTTCTAAATAGAACAGTTTGTAAGGAACATATCATAAGAACTTATAAACCCATTAGCAGCCATTTTAGAACAGCTTATCAACTGTTTGGTATAATTTTTTTCCCTCTATTTTTTTTTTCTCTCCCTCTCTCTCCCAAACCCATCTTCCTTTCTTTCAATCTGTTTGGGACAAACATTTTTCTTAATCATTTTCTTAATCATTGTCAAATAAATCATCGTGGCATGTTAGATATTGACCCACGAGCTTCATCATTTTCGTTTGCCTCTTTGTGAAACAAATACAACGATGGAGTAATTGAAGGAAAGCTTCTGAAGCATTAGAATAAAGTTGTCTTAAATAATATGTTGTCATTTGAATATAAGCAAGGGAGGGTTTGGGGGTTGTCATAACTAGAAAAAAAAATTAATTGAATCCTGAATCTATTGAAGGGCTGAAAGTACAGAGAAGGTA